GCCATGCACTTTTCAAGTTCAATTTCAAGTTACCAGTTGCCCGTTGCTCGTTGCTCGTTGCAAGTTGGCAGTTGCCAGTTGCCAGTTGGCAGCCGTTGCTCATTGAAAATCATTCAGTTAGCCATTCAGTCACTTTGTCTGTCATTCGGTCTTGACGATGGGTAATACAAGATATTCGCATTGTTAAATGACCAGCTTGGCACAACGGTTCGCTTTAAGACCAAGACCCAGACGCTGTATTTCCTGTGTAAAATAGTTGAGTGCCACTTTAATGGCACTTGAATTAATTTGCTGATAGTCAAATCACAGCCAGGAAATCATGGCTTTTTTATTAAATAAAATCTTCATTTATTTATTTATTTACAAGCTGCATAGTCGAAAATTGGTCTGGGTACCTCTTATCATGCGTTGATTATCATTTACTTAGCTCATCAGCCAACATTAAGTCTTCAGTTCTATTTACAGATTCCATACTCGAAACTTTATTTACTGCCGGTGTTTCGTTGATCTTTTCTAATCAACTGTTAAAACAATTTCTAGTTAGCTCAACAGTCAGTATTCAATTCGCTCAAAAATAGATAACACAAGAGCAATTTGTTTCTATTGACAATCAAAAGATATCATTAAATTGTTAACTGACTTCTCTTACATTGAATCCTGTCGTTTTACCATTATTGACTTCCCCTTTTGTGTTACACGATTCAGCATCTAATTTCGCAATCTTTGCCTGAGGCGGCACAACTGTCAACAATTTATGATTGACACGCCCAAAACAACTATAATTGCCCGGTTGACAGTCTTTCCAGACCAGTCCCAAACTCTCGGCAAGGTCTTAATTTTGGGCGAGATAAGAACCGTTATCAGATGCTGTAATCGATGCAAATTCCAAATTTAACATAAAATTGACACATTTGTTGAACTGTCAATTTGTCGCTTACAAAATGTGGCAATAAATTCAAGGGGGCCAAAAGTGTTGTGCTCTGAAACTCCCTTTTTCCTATTTTATTTGGGGCCGCCTTTCACAATACGCGTTCTGACATTTCAATTGCCTGCGGCATTTGTTCGAGTGAGAAGGGAGCGGGGGCGTGGCCTGTCGCTTAGCATAATTGAAATTGACATATTTCATTGTCGGCAAAAGGCAACGAAAATTGCAAAAGTAAATTTTCAATTTTCATCACATTTAAGTGAGGGAACAAACGAGCGCATGGACAAAAGCATCGCATTGATTTGCTTTGATTTTCATTCATCGCCCGCTGTCATCGTGCGCCTTTATTTACCGTTTTGCTTTGTTGCAATCACCCCGGGGAGCATCAATACGGACATATATATATATATATATACGGAAAAGGGGGAGAGGATGGGTAGCAACAGCTTAGGCTTGTAGCTTTGTCTGTCTGCCCGGACGGTTGGCGTAAGCGCCTTTCACGAGTGCCCAGCAACCGCCCACCTACCCATCTCCTCTAGATTCTTGCATACTTTTCAATTTTATTTTTTGGTTCGTTTTTCTTGCATCATCTCGACGCGTTGAGCCTTGTCGTGGATTTTTGGCAGCTTTAACAGGATTAGATGCCTGCTGAGCAGCCAGTCCTGATGATGATCGGATCACGCTTACTTTAAAATCACATCGAGCTTGAATTTGGCGACAACAAAGCAAATTCAGGTGAAAACAAACTCAAGCGATTTACTTCTTAACTTTAAATGAGCAAAAACAAAACTAAGAACTGCAAATAATTGAAAATTTACTTCATCTTCTTCATTTCTTTCCATAAAGAAATGTATTATGTTGAAGGAAAATGGTTTGGACTGGTTTTGAGTATCACTATAGTTTTTTTAAATTTTTTTTTTTATTAATTTGACTTTTTTATATAAATTTATTTTATATAATTTTTTCCCTTACATTTTATTAGAATTTAACACTTGTAATTTATGCAACTTTAAACTTTAGGCAGGACAACAAAAGCCCAATTGATAAAGTGGAGCTCTGTTCCGTTCACTTCACTGCCTCCGCTTTGTTGGGCTCCTTCTCTTTATTTGGCATTTGCCCATAAATTATAATGGCGAAACAATGAAATATATTCAGGACAGTCGAGCAGGTATTTGGGTCACTTTTGGAGCGCTTCGTTGGTATTGTTTTATGCTCGGCAACATGCAAAACAGAAGTGGCACAAATTAAAGTTAAAAAAGAGCACTATTGCATAGCATTGAGCGTGTAATTTTTTAAGTATTATTGACAATGGTGTTGCTCCTGCAATTGTACGTTTATTTCAAATGAAACAAAAGTGGCCGGCACTTGGGCATTGCGCATCCTCTCAATATTAATGAGGATCCAGCAGCAGCTAACACAACAAACCTTGTAATGAGTTTAAAAACTGCGCATAACTAATTGAGTTTTATTTGTGGCATGCTAATTTAACTGACCAAGTTTCCCATTGTCTGTTTGCCACCAACTTGTTCAAGAGTTGAGTGTGCTTTTCTTTTCCGTTGTTCGCTGTTGGCAACACCTTAACTTGGCCTGGTTTTTTATGAGATGTTCTGTGTTTTTTAAGCCCACAAAAATAATGATATTAAGAGCATTATTTTCTTCATGTACTTCATGGATAAATCTTTATCTTATATAAATATATACAAAATTGATTAGGTATACTTCTTTCTTCTCATTTCAATAAGCTTCGTGAGTTCAGAAATGTTAAGTGCGTATTTCAAAGCATGTTTGTCATGTTATTAGAATGGCAAATATCAAAGGCATGCCCACGTCCAATTAGAGGTTCTTAAGTTTCAAACGAGCGCATCATAAATAGCTGGGAAATTAATAAAAGAGTGTGGCATGTAAGCGGCATTTTAGAAGTATCCTAACCCAAAGGCCTAATAAGCTGCTTCAAAGCCACAAACTTTGCCACTTTGGCGTTTGGGTTAACTTTCCGCGCACTAACAACAGCAAATCAAAGTCGGCGAATAGAATTCGAAAAGTATTTGGCAACAACAAGTTTTTGGGGTCGCAACACAAAGCAAAAGTTTTGTACGGATCGCATTCCGTTCGCGCGCCTTTCGGTATGCTATAAAATGTTAAACAAAACAAGATTTTCAACGTTTGAATGTATTGTTATCGCCACTCATTTATTATGCAAAGTTTGCCAAAGTTTGCGTTGTGAAAATTTCTCAATTGCCGCATGCAAAGCACCGCTAATCAAATGCGACATTTATCAAATTGGCACGCAACATGACGACCAAACATGCAAACTGCATAGCTGTGGGCTTGGGCGTGGCACTCAGCCAAACGTGCCGCTTGTTGCATGCATGCCATATTAGCGCCCGCCTTTCGCCTGCAAATAGTAAACACAATTTTTAGAAAATATATATGCTTAGCAGCCTCAGGATTGCCACATGACGCCGAGCTCATCATGCCACATTTGCACAAGCCAATTTCGACGGCTGTGGCAAATGGATGTGCGTCTAGACTTCGCCGTTGTCTCTGTGGGCTCAGCCAAGTGGCCTAAGCCAGTAAAGTCTGGTCTTAGACCAAAATTTGGGCACACCATCTGCACGGCTTTGTATTGCTCGGCATTGCGCGACGAACACGTTCTGCATTTGTAATAAGCTGCTAGATGCGGTCTTGGGTTATGTTTTCTTTTCTCTACTCAGACTGGAAACAATCGGTTCGAAACTGATTGGGTTAAAGCCGGATATTTAACATTTTGAAGGGAAAACATATTGAAATTTTGTTTGTTAAGATTTCAGATTGCAATTGCTTCTTATTATATAAGCATCCTTGAACTAAACAAGGACTTATATGTAACTCATGTTAAAACCAAATTGCCAAACCTTGAGAAGCTCCTGACTCCTGGATATTACTTGTTTACTTGTCCTTAGTTGCCTAAAAGAGACTTGCCTTTGCCCAGCTGTGTGTTTTAATGTTAATTTATTCTTCACATTTTGAAATATATCTCAACTTTAACAAAAATTTAATTTTCTGACTGACTGCATTAAAGCATTCTAGCCAAGTTTCAAGACGTCACTTTAACCTCTTTTTCGGTATTTGAGCGTCGATAATCAAAAGGAATCAATGTGCCAATGAACTCGTCAATGAACTCGTTATCAATGCTAATGGAACTTTTTCAGTTTCACATGCAAGCGATGAACACGCGACCGGTAAACAGCATGGCTTGCATGTCCATGCCACGCCCACATCGCCCACGCCTTCCCCATATGTGGCAGCTAATCTGCGCCTATTATTTTGGTTTATTTGCCTCGCACCACAATATGATTACAATAATAATTTTATGTATTTTACAAAAATGTTCATGCATATTTTGAGTCACGCACGCAACTATAAACAACACGAAATGCCGGAAAAATTCGAGCATCAGCCGGAAAACTGAATTGATTATCGACACTATATTACCACATTCCCATAGACCCCTAATCCCCAACTTCAACAGTTCAAGCCAGTTAGCTTCAGGTTTGTCGGTTGCGTTTTATCTCTTTGCGTGCCGCGTTGCCGTTTGCCTGTTTTGAATTCGGAATACAAATTACGAAATTTAATGACTTCATTGTTGGGTTCTGGATACCCTGTGTCCATTAATAATTGATAAAAAAGGGTATAGTTAAGAAATCATAACGAATATATCATCTTGATTAGCATCTACAGGCGAACTTCTTTAACTGCAAATCATAATAAGAATCCGACTTTTTGTCATGTGTTATTTTAAGTATGCTCCTTGAGGTCTGATTAGTTTAGGTATCCGATAGTCAAACTATATCCACTAAAACGATCTTTCTTTTTCTATTGGAATAATTACACGCTGCATGTGAGAAAAATTCACGTAATCGGGTCAAATACTATTTAATTGGGTTCACAGTAGCTGGCTTATTTTAGATAATTGCTTTGGCTAAGCTCATGCGCTGTTAATGATAGCTTTGTAGTAGCCTTTGAAAAATGTGTTAAGTGAACTTTTCAGCAATTAACATTTACCTAAGCCTATCAATCAGTTATCTAAAAATTGTTTATACGTAAACTCTACCCAGGAGTAACTTGAAAAAGTTTTTAAAATGTTACGAGGTTCTCAAATGGCCGAAACAAAAAGGTTAGATTTCTCTGTAACTGTTGAATATGTGTTAAAATATCAATATTGAATTAAAATTTAAATCCTACCTTATTCAAGATCTCTTCCAAATCCGGGCATACAATTTAGTTCGGCTGTTGGCTCTCCAGAGGCTAGGCGCAAAATGTTGCTCTACAAGCAGTTGCTAAAAAAGGAGCTAAGCAGGGATAAGATGAGGCCTCGGAAAATTGTTACAGTCGGAAAACGGAAGCAACAACAACAATTGCCCAAACTATACCCATCATATTGATTTCACTTCTGTCTCTGATTTTCGGACACACATTCGGACTTTTGGGGAGTTTTTACGCATATTCATTCTGTTTTTCAATGATATTAAATTTTCGATCCTTATTTATTTTTAATAAATGTGTCTATTAACATTCAAATATTGGTCTAAATTTTTAACTAAAAAACATTAAAATGTTGCCTAGAAAGTACAAATTGTATGTAAATATGAAAATATGTTCATGTTTTGAAACTGCAGTGTTATTATTATCTACCATAAGCAATAATTTAGTCTGCCAACTCTGTTTGCTTGTTTAAGGCGATGTTGTTATTGCAATTTTTGCGGTTTTAACAGTTCATGATAAAGTGCTAGCCATCCAGACATAAAAAACGACATCAAGTAAAGTCATCGCAGTATTTGCCCCTTACAAAAACAAACTCCGAATCCTCTTCCATCCTCTCTTCAATTGCTGCGCGGCCTTTTTTAATTGCCGTCAAGCGCCAACTGTTACATTTTGAACTGTGTAACTTTTATTTATTTATGCAAATTTTTGTTATTTATTTTTTTGGTTTTTGTTTGTATATGCCGAAGGGGCTTCACCGGCTGAACAATATTTGTCGCTAAATTGGCTAAAGTGCTGCGAACTTTTGCCCACTTTGGAGCTGAGCGATATTTTGATGGCAGCGACAAATAAATTGAAATGGTTGTGACAATTCTCGTTGCGTAGTATTTTCAACAAATGCTGCCAAAATATCGTTTTATTAGTGCGAATATCTGCAGCTGGCTAATTGGACGACAAATGGGGAGTTAGACGAGCTGCGACACGTGCCAATATTGTCCACAGTATTCCCCGAGCTGAAAACTTTTATTCTTTCTATTTCCTTTTTTTTTTTTTTTTTTTTGTTTGTTAGCCAACTTTGGCCATTTGTGGCCAATTCACAATTGTACACACTCGCACATAATGGCAATTGTGAGCGGCCAGCAAAAGTTGTTGGCTTCAATCCCACCAGTCGAACGTGCCAACACGTACATTGCTCATCCGAAATGTGTTTCTAGCAATCCTTCATGGCAGAGCACATATATATGATTTAGTTATATATTTCCTGTGATGTTTCTTGACATATGACTATAATTAACCACAAGAAGAGTTTAAGAACTACATTAAACATTAAATGAATCGAAACGTGAAAAATGTTTGGAATAAACCGATTTTGCTTTAACGTTTAATGGTGAACTTGCTGAAGTTGTAAGCAGAAATTGGCTCATTGCTTGTGAAAACGGCTTTTTCAATAATGGAACGTGGACTACCCTTATGCTGCAACCAAATTCGCCTACAATAAAATTTGAATTAGCAAGTATATATGTAATTAGACATATTCATACAGAGAGCTCTGGTCATTTCTCAAAAATAAATATGCTTACATTTCTGATATTAGGTCTACAGGTCCCTCGACAATGCCTTTGACAGTGCCATCTTTGGTGTTCATGCACCAGCCATAAAGACCCAGCTCTTTGGCCTTGATTTGAGTGTGCTATCAAAAGCAAAAAAATAAAATCCTACTTAAAAAAATCCACTTAAAAAAGTCAACGTTCTGGTATAAGCTTACCTTTCGAAAATAGACACCTGTGTGAAAAGCATTAGGTATCCGACTTTTTTTTTATGATACAGCATGATACAGCACTTACCCTGCACTCGGCCATAGATTTCAAACATCATGCTGTAGAGTTTTTTCACTTTGCCCATATTCAATGTTTCAGAAGATAATTTTGATGGTTGGTCTCTTCTCACTTCCTCCTTTTCTTTAAGTTTGCTATTCATTGTTTAATATGTGTTTGGAAAGTTCAAAATTTTTTTACAAATGTAGTTTTGTTTTTTTTTAAATAAAGTATTCTCAAGCTAAAATTTGTTACGGAACTAGCAACGAAAGTTTTAGAATTGAATAACAACTTGAGTTTCAGTTCAAGGATAGCTATGAGATCAAAATATTTATAGCATAAATATTCATATTGCATTCTTTGAAGCAATTTCAGAATATGTGTTGCTGTAATTTTCTGCTTCCTTCTGCTCAAGACAGATGGGCTATAAATTTGTAATTCCAACTGCCACTTTCACCTAATGTCAATGAATAATTATGCTGTGTAAAATTGCAATTCAGAGTGGCAAACCACATTAAAAATACATAATATTTTGTTTAAGAGTTTGGCGAGTGAATTTTGGTCATCAGATCATCAGATTTCCTCTATTATAAGACTTCAGCAAGTAGCTGTATTGATACGCCATCTCACTCTGTCGCAGTTGTTCTCTCTCTCTCCCTCTCTCTCTCTGGCTTTTCTTGCCAGCTCTAGCCATTTGGAGCTGCTTCACTTTTAGCGCTTCCGGTTCGTTAAATTTAACGGGCGATGCTGCTGCGCGCTGATGGCCACAACAGAGAGACGCTGTAAAAAAAAAATAGAAATGGATATGAGCAGAGCAAAAGGTAGTGAACAGAGGGGGGAGGGGTGAGGTGCAATTTGGACGCTACAGTGGAAACTTCGATAAAACGTTTGACGCTGCAGGCAAACTGACATTTTCCATTAAGTGCAGACAGCTCGCAATGCCAGCAGCTCATTTTTTGGTACGTTGAGAAACTGAGTGAAAGAGACAGACAGATGTATAGAGAGAGCGAGAGAGAGAATAAGGAAGCTAACACATTTTGGCCAAGTTTTATGGCAGAAATGATGTTGGACTTGGATTGTTGTTGACTTAGGAGCTCATCCACTTATCTAACAGCTATTGTTTATAGTCAGCTTTTAGGCGCACATTAATTAAAGCAGAATCTGAGGCAAATACGTTGCAGCTGCTGCGTTTTGGGAAGAAGTTTTTTGACCAAAACATCAAAGTGTCATCAACAGGCAGCCGTCGCAACCGGGGCTGCACTTCCGCAGTTGTCAAGGCGCACTCGACAAGGAGCCAGCAGCAAGCAGCAAGAAAACGATGGACAGGACAACGACAAGTACTGACATTGTCGGTGTTGGTCTCAGGGCCCCCTTTGGCTCTCAGAGTGTCCTTATCATTTGCGACAAATTCGCCGTCAACTTTACTACAATAATATTTATTTTGAAAATATGCTTGAGCGCGTCTCACTGTCTCTCCATCTCTTGGGTTGCGCACACTTTGAAGTGTTGCAAATGTATAAAAGTAATCAAAATATTTTGTCAGCTTCAGCTGCAGTTTAGAAACTTGAACTGAAATGCTTCACGTTCTAAGTGTTGATTTTTAGTGGTCGCTTTAAAAGTGCTTTGGCACAAATTGCCAAAGGAAATTGAGTTGAAAGTTGTGCAGCACAGCTGGCGATACTTAAATGTGGCAACACTTTAAATACAGCAATGCCTCGCAGGCATTGCAAATATTAGACGCCCCTTTGCACTCCACGCTCTCCACTAGACTATGGAAAAACATTAAAACTATCTAGCATAATAAAAATGAGAAATTATGATTAAATTTCCTATTATCAGATCATATTCTTTTAAAAGGGGAAAGTCTTAATAAAAGCGAAAGACTTAGTGTTTCTTAACGACTTCTGAGATAAGGTTTTCTGTTAATTTAAGAACTTGTAAGCACCCTGTATTATGGTATATTAACCTTGCAGTTGATTACTTCTAAAATATACATAAAAAACTTGAAAAAGTTGCTTTTTACCATCTAACATTTTAATTTCAGCCACCGTACACTGAACTAAAGCGAAATTGACATTTATGCAATTTGATTTTGTGCCGCACAGCAAATTAAATTTACTCAGTTTGCTACCCTCAAAAAGTATGCTATGTTTTTCTGCCCGCAGTCAAAAGGACTCAAACACGGGTGTTGTAAATATGCATGTGTGTGTATATATTTGTATGTGTGTGTGTGTGTGTGTGTGTGTGTGTGACGTTTTCAAACAATTTCACGTTGAAATTTGTTACAAATTGCAGCTACAATGAAAATTTGCATAAAATTTCCATATGCGTTTTTGTTCCGCTGGCTGTTATTTCTCTTTTTAGTCGTGTTTTACTCCACCTGACTCATTTCGCTTTCGCTCATATTTCGCTTTTACTATTTGCATAAAAATGCCGCCTGACTGACAAATTTCTCGCGTCGCGCCGCAAAATTTATGAACTCTTGAAAATATTTGCGCCTTTTCAAATCTCTAGAGTCGCATAAAATATGTTTCTCTTTTTTTTTTTTGTCCTATTGGATCGGAATTGAGGGGGGCTATTTGTCCAGTTTGCCGGTGAGGTGTTAACATGTCCAAAGCCTCCATTTGCATTTAGCGTGGACCATACTCTCGCACAATGAAAGGCGGAAACGAGGCAACGAGGCAACGAGGAAAATAAGGCGAGTTAATTTATGTGCGCCCTGTCTAAAAACGCCAAACGAGCCGCCTCTCAACCAATTTTCATTAAAGCACATAAATTGTTGTTTATGGCACTCTGGTCCACCATTCCATTCCATGCAATACCTTTGGGGAGCATAGGGGAGGCACAGACGCTGCAGTGGGGTTTCAGACTGGCGCAGTGCTACTGTTTCTATCCTAAAGTCGACATAATTTCATATTCATGGGCGCGCAATTCGAAACTCCCCTTTTTTGCTCCTTTCGACTGCTGCAGTCAGTCCCTCCCTCACCTGCTCCCAGCCTGCCCGTACAATCCCTGTCCCCGTTTTGTATCCGTTAATAAAGTTTGGCAATTATCTTAGCTGCCTGTTGCTATAAAGTCGACTGTATTTCTGTGCCTGTGTGTTTGTGTTCTCTGCAGATAAGTGTATTTTAGACAAAGCAACTTCCTTGTGCGCTGTACTCAATTGCGGTATGAGACTCGGTGTAGAAAATTGAGTTTTTATAAGCAATATTTTTACAAATTTAATCACATGTTTTGCTTCTTGTTTTTGAGCAAGATGCGATAAAAAATAATGCTAACATTTAGAATATGGGAGTTTGAAACAAGTAAGAATGCTATGTAGTCAAGTGAGCTCGACTACGATGTACTCTGAAACAAGTTGTAAAATATATTTTATTCATTGACTCGTCTGTTGATCCTCATTAATAATATATATGTTTATTTTATGGGAACGGAGAGTGAAGCATTCATTCTGTCTGTTATGTACTTTTATTCCCATTTTTACCAATTTTTAATGGGTTAAGGGCATAAAAATGAGCATGCTTTTTGTTTTTAAAGTCTATTTAGTTTTTTTTTATAGACCTGTATAAAATCTTATATGACATATTTTTAAATAATTTTTAGCTGTCTCATTGCTTCAAGAGATTTTGCTTTGCCTTACTTAACATTAGTGATATGTCGTGTGCCACAAAAACTTTATATTACAGCTTAAAGTTGGGTAATATTTCATCAGTTGATTGTCGCCTGTCGTACACTTTGCAAAAGTTTTGGGGGGTAATCAATAGTCGTGTTGAGGGGCTGTTCTCAAGTTGGCTGATGCAGGCATCACATGGCCATCATATCTACTCACGTCCGCCATCAATTTCATAAAGTGCAAAATATGCGTGGAGAAAGCCAACTTGGAGATGGGAAAAGTGAAAAAGTTGCGACATATAACCTGCCTCAATATAATTGCATTACACGTAGCTGTCACAAGTGAAAAACCGCACGTAGAACACAAAATAAAAACAAGTTGTAGCAGCAGCAGCAGCTGTCAAATGCGTCAACACCACCCAACCACCCGAAAGAGAACCACAAAACCACAACCTCATCTGTTCAGCTCTAACCCGACTCAAATGTGAAAATGACTTGGCATCGGACTTTTCATATTTTCACCGAGTTCTGCTCAGTTCAGCTGTCGTCTATGCTCCTGTATTCCCTGACAATGGTAACGGAGTGCACACATCTAGCTGGCAAATCCTTTTTCTTAACCTTTCGCCAAGCGTCGTGCACATACTTCAAGTGTGCTTAAGACCCCCCGCCCACATCCCTCACTCAGCACTCCACCTCACCTCATCTTTGATGTGGTCTACGAGTATGCAAGACACAAATCACCAGAGCGATGGCGTTTGGAATTTATGCGTCCTCTTAGCAGCCGTCTTGGGTGTCTGCTGAGTGTGTTTCTGTGTGTGTGATCTCTGTGATTTGGTAAGCAGGCCAGCCCAAGAACCCGACGAGCCCCTAAGCTGACACTGATGTACGCCATTTTCTGTGTGGGCGTCTCAAATATAAGTATTTCGGGTGCGAGGTATTCAACCAGACTCTGAAACATGTCAAGCCCATTAGCTGTTGAATTTTTTTCATTTTTTCTCTCTTTTTTTCTATTTTTTTTTTTTTGATTTTTTTTTTATTTGTTGCGTTACGAGCTGTGTAAATATTTTTAGAAATTATTTAACGCTTGAATGGAATGAATCGCATCGACAACCGGTAGCCGGAAATCACTTATGACATTTGCGATCTATTGATTTTTTATGGTTCACCAATTTTTTGGGCCAGATAATGATTTGAAAAAAAAGCAAAACGGGGCGCAGTGCTTAAAGGTTGGAAAAAGAGAGGATTTAAAAAGGATTTCTTTTCGAGATTATTGTTTACGCTTGGCTTAGGCTTAAACTGCCCTAGCTCTTAAAATAAATGTAAATTTTGAAATAATTTGAAACATTGTAGACATTTCCATATCGAACATTTTGTTTTGTTATGCTAAAAACCCTTTTTAAAAGTAATTAAATTTCGAACTGTTTTATTTATTCAACAACATTTCTGGCCAAGAATATAGAAAACTGTAGCTTGTATGACTTTATTGCCTACTTTGTAATTTTTGTAGTCTAACAACTTCCTACTAAGTTGTTGCTCTGCCTCCATCAATTACTTTGAGATGTATCTGAGCAGAAGCTACAAAGTCTTCACATTTGCTTT